GGTCTCACTGATAGTGGTGATGAAGAATTCATCTTTGCATAGACTTAAGGGAGCCGAATAAAGGCGTTCTGATTGACAGACAGCCACTCCCACATACAAAATAAGTGTTCATGGAACTTCATGGTGCAAAAATGTTTTCTACTTTTGATCTACAGAGTGCATATCCCCAGCTTCTGCTACAGGAGGACAGCAGAGATTTCACAGCGTTTATTATGCAAATGGGCTATTCCACATTAAACGTGTACCATACAGATTTGCATCAGCACCCAGCACTTTCCAAAGAACGATGTTAGTGATTCTCAGTAACCAGCCTGGAGTCCAGAGTTATTTTGGTGGTGATATTGTGTTCGTGAAGTCTCCTGAGGAACAAAGAAAAATCTTCCCTGTATACTATGCCGCATCAGAACAACAGGGCTGAAACTGAATTTGGCCAAATGCCAATTCAGATGGCTATAAAAACGTGTTATTTGGCAGTTACGTCACAAGACAGTGGTGACGCATGTGCCACCATTACAGCCTTTTTCCAGATGCAACATGGCAAAAACTTGCCATTGATATTAGAGGTCCATTTGACCATGCCCCAAGTGACTGTTGCTATGCTATCACTTGATCAACTACTTCAGTAAATTGCTGGAAGTGATGTTTACATCTCAGGTTAGCTCTGTTATGGTGGTCAAGTTCTTGTTGATGTCTTTAGCAAGAAACAGAACTTGAAAGAATTAGTATTGGACAACAGAACGCAATTTACCTTTGCTGGGATCTGAAACTTTTCTGGCAGAGAGGAACATTAGACATAGAAGATCATCCATGTATGGCCCTCAAGCTTATGGAGAAATTGAATGATTCAACAGAAGTTTGAATCTACATACCGCTATGTTGGAAAGAAAAGCATGGAGGACCTTCGTTACAAATTTCTTACAAATCTACAGGGCTATGGGCCATGCCGCAATGCAAAGGTCACCGCCTGAATTATTACATAGCAGAGAAATGCATACTAAATTAAACATTGCTGGATTACTGGGAGCCGCTTTTGATATATCTGTGCAGCTGGATATAAGAAAAATATTCAACAGAAACAACAAAAATATACAGCACATACAGATAAATGTTGTTTTATCTAAAATTTGAATGTGTCTCATTTGTAAGAGTACAAAAACCTGAAATCTTACAAAAAAGAGAACCCAGGTTCATGTCTCCACTGAAAATTGCTGCGAAAAAAGGACCATATGCTTACAAACTGTCAGATGGTTGAGTATGGAACTTCATTCATCTTGCACCTGCTTACCAAGAGCAAAGCAGAGATATTTCAGACCATCTAACTGGTTCCAGTAATTTTACTTTGCCACTGACAATACAGGATAAGTGATAGGATGTTGGGCCTGATAGACATGCCGTCAGAACCAGATGGCCACCTGTAGGGACTGGAGACGGATTTATGAAATTATTAAAGGAAAATGGGATTAGTTCCTCCTTATAACTAGAATTCTAATTATAGTTACGTAATGTTTGCTTTTTAGTTATGGTCAACGGCTGCTGCTGCAGCAACTGCTTCTGGAGCTACACAATTGTTGTCTTAATAAAAACCCTTGTTGGTGGTTTTTACTCTTTTGGTCTCGGCCTCCGCTACTCCACAAGAAGCCACTCAGAATGGCTACTAGATAAAACAAGGAACCATCCCTAGATACAAGCTTCTCTATGTTTTTGATAATGTGGCTGAGTGCAGACTGTTCATCAAATGTTTTATTCTTTCCAGCAGGAAAAGTAGGGTGTTTTTTTTTTAAATGGACAAAAAAGCAACTAATTGTGCTTTTGTCTATAATTTAAGATTTTTCTATATCCGATTATTTTCCTTTGCAAAACTTGAATCATGCATCTACTGTACATGTCTAGAGATTTATATGGAGCTTGTCATCGTGGTATCTGAGTACCTTACAGAACTAAAAAAACAGTTCATCCTTGGTCTGACTCTTCCTTCGAACACCTGTTGTGCATTAAAGTAAAATCTATAATAGGGAAAGTGGCAAGTATATCGATGTAGAAAATATACATTCTTCTAAAGAAGGAGACACAAGTAAAAGGAGCCTTAGCACAGCAGTGACATCTATTTACATGGGGGTTGCATGCACCTGTTCATTAGGCAATAACAAATGCTTACCATGGTGGTAGCTGCATCACACGATACATATGCTGCTTCTGACATACATAACACCTCTTTAAGGAAACACATGGCCCCATATGTCACAAGAACTTGTTTACATTCTGCAATACAGTAAGGAAAAATATGTTTCATAATAAATGTTTTCATACTTTTTGTGTGTGAGGAGAGAATGGGGATTTTACATCCTGGCTGTCAGTTTTAACGTGCTTTTGTATTGTTCTCATTCAGAGGTGTGTGGGGTTTTATATTAAAAGAACCCAAACTAACCCCCTCAGATCCTAGCACCCCCAAACTTTGTGACAGTTTGGATTTGAACTATGGGGATTTTGGGCCCAAGTCTATGGAACAGACAAGAATTTTTAGAGGAAGTAAACTTGTGTGGGTGGAAATTTGTGTATTTAATTAGTTTCGTTTTTATTGAAGCTCAGCACTTTAACAAAAGGTAAATCATATTACATATAAAATGTCACAATATACACTGCCTCCACAATTCCTTTTAATATTGATATTGCCCACCACAGTAATAATGTCCCTGTATCTAACCATCTCACATCTTCAGCTCACCCACTAACCATGAGCTGTAGAGAAAAAGAGCTTTGCACTATGTTCACAAGGTTAATATATCCAGATCCCCTGAGTCATGCTGTAAATTAACTATTGTAAGGCTACAGGCAACTAGTGATGGGGTTTGGTTCAGATAAGTCTCCTTACATAGGCTGGAGCCCTATAAAACCACTTTTAAGGTCTTCTTCCTCTGATCATACTTCTTCCCTTGACAACCAAGTTCCCACCACTGAGACTCTCAAGACCGTATCACAGAACTTAGTCATCCATTCCATCTTACTGCTAGTGCAAGATTGTGTCCTACAGTAAAACTTCTAGTATTTAAGTGTCACAAATAATGGGGCTTTCTGATTCCTTTGAAAGCTAATTCCAAAGGCTAGGTCTCATTGATGGGAAATTTTACCTTTATTTATCCCAAGTTTTCCTTTTTTGGGATTTATTGCAGTGCTATGCTCGGAGTACTTTTGCAAAACTAATGGAATGACTGAAAATCAAAAACTCTGTTTTACTCCCCCAGGGGAATGCAGTCTCCCACGGATATTGATAAAGTGGAAATATCAGAGAGAAATGTGCACACAGAGCTTTATTTTGATTTAATAAATAATAACTAATGTATTGATTTTTCCCACCTCAGTCTCTTTGCAACAGGTATTGAGAACTCCAGCAGTTCATTTAGTGGAAGAGAAGAATAGGAGAATGATTTTTTTTTTCCAAAATACTGTATCCTAAAATTGTTAAATCTATTTGTTGTTAGGTCATCTAATAATAAAATCAATGACGTTCACAATTATTCTGTAACATGCACACCATTTAGGGCTATTTATTACATCAATTCTAACCAAAAAAACAACAACCAAAAAACCAATGACACTAGGAGCTAAAGAAGTTGTATCTGTATATGCTTCACTTATTTTCAGTATATGAAAGAACTAAACTGACGTTAAAGGTACTTAAGATGTCCCTGAGCCTATATTCCTGGTATATCCCAAGAAATCAAGATGGCAGACCTAGAGTAACTTTCATGGATGGATTCAGAACAGAAGAGATGAGCCTATAGGACATAATTAATGAAGACACAGGAGCTGAGGACTAGATTCCTGTGTTCTAGGCCCAACAATTCCACTAACTTCCTGTATGAATTTGAGCAAATTGCATTCAACGTCCCCCTCTCTGTTTACCCATCTGTAAAATGGGTGTAGTAGTTGCCTACATCGTGTGTGTGTGTGTGTTATGAAACATAGTGGTTATAAAGCATTTTGAAAACCTTTGATTAAAAGGACTATTTAAATATTAAAATAATTATCCAGTAACCAAAAATGGGTTAAAAATCAATACTTAATGCAATGTCTTCTTGCTTATAAAGGGCACAAGATTTAGTTGTTGAGCTACTTTCCTGGCACTTACACAGGCTCATGTGATATATGCTCAGGAATGAGTTCACTCTTGGGTGTACATATTAGGAAGCAAAAGACGTCACTGGTCATCTATATAAGATGAATGTCCCCAGCAACTTCGTCTATCAGGCTGCTTGGACTTTCCATTCCAGGCAGTCTGCTCTTGTGTAGTCTAGACTGGAGATCTCATCACAAAACAACCATCCTTTAAACAAACAGAGTTGGGAGTTGTGCAGAAAGGCCATCTCTACATTACCGGCTAAATCGGCACCACTGCGATCGATGCAGCGGTTTTGATTTAGTGGGTCTGGTGAAGACACGCTAAGTCAATGGGAGAGCGCTCTCCTATCAACGTTTGTACTCCACCTTCCCCAGAGGTGGAAGCTATGTCGACAGGACAGCGTCTCCTGCCGACATAGCGTGGTGTAGATACTGCTGTAAGTTGACTTCAGGGTTCTTTGAACCACGGGCATTACGGAAGTGCAAATGAGTATTTAATTGGAAAATTGAGTGATCATTGCTGGAATCCGTGTCAGGGCACTTACTGGTTTCTATGCCATTTCATCATGCCCCAGCCATCAGGTATAACACTAAATGAATTCATAGCTTATGGGGTGAAGATCAAAAGAGCCTTTCTTTTTCTTTGTAAAATCAATTCTCATTGCTTTGTATAACTTCCACTGGATGGCGAAGAATGAAGTTGCTATCTTGAATAATGAGCTTCTGTTGAAGAACTACTGTTGATTATTGTAATTCCCTGTATCTGTGTGTGAAACCCCCAACATTAAAAAAAGTTCAATTAGTTCAGAGCACAGCATCCTATTAGCAGCAACTCATGCTACTGAGAGACGTTACCTCCGACATTACTCCATTCTCTTCACAGGCACTGCATTGAATGCTGATTAAATTCAAGATTTCAGTTCTCATCTTTGAAGACTCATGTTACCAGAGGGATTGTCTCACCCATGTTATCATGGCCTCCCATGACAGCAATACTCCAGGGAGAAAACAGGGCTGCCAACCTCAGAGCGAAACCCATGGGTGCAGGAGGTGGAGCTTTCTCAGTGCCTAGCCCACAAGCCTGGGACTCACTCCCAGGTAATATCAGAGCATCTGTGATTCTTAGCACCTACAGAGCAAAAAATGCACACACCACTTCTTTGACAGGTATTCTACAGTCTCACTACAAAAATAAGAGCCAGACAAAAAACAAACTAAGCTGAGTCCTGCTGTCTGGATCGCAGAGAAAGAGAAATATAATGTGGCATGCTTAATAACTCTGGAAAACACTTAGGCCCCAGTTCAGGAAAGTGAATAAGCATGTTTCATTCTTATTACCTTCAATGGGATTTAAGCACATGGTTAAAGGTAAGCATGTGCTTGATTGCCTTGCTGAACTAGACCTTAGATGATGATATAGGCATCGTATAGAAACCTAGCTGGATGGAATTCAATTTTAGGTATTTTCAGGCTTAGGAGCTCTAGGCTTCATTTATGAATTAACTCCCTGAACTTTAAAAATATCCATGTAATTCACAAAAATACTACAGGTTTTGTCACTGACATAATTTCCTATCAGCAGAGGGAATTACAGCTAAGGTTCTTTTTCTTCTCTTATTAAAGATTGTTCTTTGATCCAAAGGAGACGTTCTGATTTTTTTTTTCATCTCACTCCAAATTCCAAAACCTTTTTCTCTTTAAAGAATGAGCCCCAGGACTGCATTTGCATTTGTAAAGAGTGTGTGAGGAAAAAACAGACTTCCTACATCATGTTTGGATTTAGGATTCATGGGCAGGTAGCTTTTATTTTAATATATATTTGACATGAGTGTATTATTCATTATAGCTCCATGAATAGAGCCCTTTATATCTTATTTTATTATACCTGGCACACATTTTATTACATAATAGAGTACTGTATCTTGGTGCTTATTAATATCTTCTAAAAGAGAGTGAAGTTTTCACTGTCTTCAACTGTGTAAGGGTGGGGCGGGGAATAGTCTCTTTCCAGGTGCCTTTTAATGTGGTATTTATCGTTACCACATTTCTGGGCTCTTGTCTATTAAATGTGCTACTGAAGACTGGAATGAAGTCACTTACATATTAATTTCCTCTGTGAACTCTATTAAAGTACTAATGTTCATTTACTTAGGTGTCTTGCTTAGAGAGGGTGCTGACAAGCTTCATGAATGGGAGAAATGGCATCATTTTAAAAAAAAATAACGTTAAGTCCCTATGGAAGATCTGTTCCTTGGCATTTTGAAAGCAGCATACAATGTTCCATTGGTCTGAAGCCAACCTTTTTTGATTTATGCTTTTTAAAACGTAAGAAACAATATGATAAAAACATACACAAACTTGGCGCCAGACTTAAATAATCATTTTTTTCCTGCAATGTCTGATCTGGGTCATAAAAAAAAAAATTCTAAAAGATGACACAAATTTTATTTTGCTATCCTATTCTGTGAGTGGTTTCCAAGAAATATTGTTTCATCACTGCAGGGAATCAGAACTTGCTAATACCAGAGCCAAGGAAAATTTTTGAAAATTGTTATTGCAATGTTTATCTAGTGAGATCATTATTTTTCCCTGATGAAGCACAGGTGCAAAATCTAAATACACTGGTTCCAGTAGTACAATTTTCTAACCATTTCCTTTCTTTGCAGGCCTAGCAAATGTAGCCTACTATTAACAGGATACCAAGGACCCCTCTGACTCTCATTTTCTTCACTCCACCATGGCAAAAAACCCCAAATCTTTCTGCCCTTGTAGAATTTATATTTTGTCTGGTCATATTTTTTTTTCAAGGCCCATTCAACCTACATGATAACATCTGCTGGGACTGGGGAAGCAGACATGCAGAATCCTCGCAAATGGAAATGCCAGGGATGGATCAGATACCAGATGGTAAGAATGTTAACTCGTAATAGGGCTAGGAGGTTCTTTTGCCTTCATAAGAAGGAAGGCAGCACCCTCTAGCACTGAGCCTTTGCCACCACTATGATGACAGGAACTGCCAAACATAAATCAGAGTGATAACAGCCTCTGTTGGGGATTCAGACCCACATTTTCCTGCATGGAAGATAAAATCTTTTCTTGGTTCTTAATTCAATCACATACCCAACTGGCAATCTTGCATATCAAAATGGGAATCCTGGGAGGCTGCTGGAATATGCAGATCAACAGAAGCTAATTAGCATTTACTCGCAGCCATCCTTAACTGATTGGCAGCACAGCTGTGGGGACCAAACAAAACATGCTGAGTTGCATATTTGTAAGGCCACCTGCCACTTGGTGGAATCTAAAATTGTGTAAACTACCACTTCATAATAACTCAGTGACCTTAGTTTTGAAGCAATACTGAGTGGGTATATTTGGCTAAGTGTATAATTAGTGCTTATTTCACCTGACATGCAGTTCAGCAATAGACTGTGCAGCAATACCTTCTTAATTTGACGTGTTGATGTCTTAATTAAGATTGACAACTTGTTAGAGAGGTGCTGTATTTCCAGTGCAGGCTGATATGTACCCATTAGCACCTACTTCACTACCAATATGAAACAATGCACTTTTATGGCTTTATACACATCCCAGCCATTCAAGGTGGAACAGGCGAACATTGAAAGAAAAAGGTCTATTTCCTGTATACGTTTATGTAAGTACTTTATTGCCTTACACTCAGAATATAAATTGGGAGAGGATGTGGGAGGAAGAGAGAGATGAGGGGAAATCCCAGAAAATTAAAACATCAAGAAGCATGACAAAGAAAATAGAGGAGAAAGGCATATGTAGACAGAAGGAATTCCAGCACTGTGGTCTTACTTGGAACATGATGGTGAAGTGAAAATTATAACAATGATATATCCTAGGTTGTTTAGAGGAGAATGGTACTTTTCATGGGTAGGCAAAAAAGCAGGTTTGTAGACCGGTTGCCTCATTCCCTATCTGGAAAACAGGGCTATCCATGTTTCAAGATGCTCATGCTGAAACAAAGCAAAGAAGGTGAGAAAGATCCAACATGTCTGCGTGTGATTAGCCAATTTTTTGACTCGTGTAAATAGTGCAATTCTATTGGCTTCAGTGTGTGGGCTTATACCAGTAGAGAATTTGGTCTTAAATTCAGAGTAGGCCAAAGAGGGTTGAAAGGGGAGGTATAAATATATACAACGATGTCTGGAAGATTGTGGAGAGATGACATTTCATTCAGAATTGTTAATCTTAATGAAAATAAATTGACCATAGTAAAAATTATAATTGATAGTTTAGGCCATCTGAAAGCGCCGACAACATGATGGGGAACAACAGAGGAGGTAGGTCTAAAAGACTTCATAAGAAAGCCAGTGAATCATGAAAAACAGCTGTTTGGAAACAATTCAGCTTCTTTGTACCTCATTATTAGTGATTAAAAGATTCATTTGGATGCAGGCAGGAGTTTTAAGTTTTCATCTACTGCTGGATCTTGTTTCTGACTTGAGATCATGATGCTGTGTTTGGCATCCCCATCACATGCTTTATCAGAAAGAGAAGGAAAAAAAACCTAAACTATCGTTCGCATCCCTGTTCACTGAAGAGAAATTTGGGGGAAAGCTGCAAAAGAGCAAATACATATTTTACAGGGACAAGGAAGAAATAACGTTCAGGACAAGCAATGGCTGAGAGCTCTGAGGGGCTTGGATTTTTCTAAATTGACTATTGGTGTTGGGTGCCCAATGTGAGACTCCCTAAGGGGCCTGATTGTTAGGAAGTGCTGCAACCCCCACTCTCTGAAAACTGGGCACCTTTAAGGTGTCTCACACTGGGCACCATCACCAGGCACATCTGAGGTTCCTGGCCATGGATTGTTATCCTAGGATTCTGTAAGAGGCAGCAATAAACAAACAAATAAAATCAAACCAACAAAGTGTTAAAAGGTCACTAGCAGATTCTTTCAAATCTCTTGGATCGGAAGTTGAAATACTTGTAATAGACTAAAGAGATGCTAATGTAACACAGAGGGGTTGTAGTACATATGTGTGGCTTGGCTACTCCCCATCACCATAATTCATGTGCACTAAGCTCCATACTGCTACTGCTCTCTCTCTACTTGCATATCCAGAATCCTTGGAATCTAAAATTAATCAGAGATACTTGTAGAGTCTGGGCATCTCTACCAGAAGAATGAGTAGGGCCCTACCAAATTCACGGCCATGAAAAATGCATCACAGACCGTAAAATCTGGCCTCCACATGTGAAATCTGGTCTTTGAGTGCTTTTACCCTATACTATACAGATTTAATGCGGGAGACCAGCGTTTCTCAAATGGGGGGTCCTGACCCAAAAGGGAGTTGCAGTGGGGTCACAAGGTTATTTTTGGTGATTGTGGCATTGCTACTCTTACGTCTGTGCTGCCTTCAGAGCTGGGTGGCCAGAGAGTGGCGGGTGTTGGCCAGGTGCCCAGCTCTGAAGGCAGTGCTCTGCCAACAGCAGCTCAGAAGTAAGAGTGGCAATACCATACCAGGCCACCCTTATTTCTGTGTTGCTGCCTTTAGAGCTGGGCAGCCCGAGAACGGCGGCTGTTGGCTGGGTGCCCAGCTCAGCAGGCAGCAGCACAGGGTGATAATACCATACCATGCCATCCTTACTTCTGCGCTGCTGCTGGCAGCGGCTGTGCTTTCAGAACTGGGCTCCTGACCAGCAGCCACCGCTCTCCAGCTGCCCAGCTCTGAAGGCAGCGCCGCTGCTTGCAGCAGCACAGAAGTAAGAATAACAATACCGCAATTTCCCCTACAATAACTTTGTGACCCCTCCCCCACAACTCCTTTTTGGGTCAGGACCCCTACCATTACAACACTGTGAAATTTCAGATTTAAATAGCTGAAATAATGAAATTTATTATTTTTAAAATCCTGTGACCATGAAATTGACCAAAATGGACCGTGAATTTGGTAGGGCCCTAGTAATGAGGAGGGAATGGGGAGGGGTGCAGTGAACTTTCTGTCTCCTTTCCAACTCTTATATCTGTTGCTGTTATTGTCTTTGTTGCTGTTAAGGCTACATCCAGCCATACCTCAGGATAGGTTCTCATCGATTTTCTCATCATGAACTTAGATGGGGTTGCACCTCAGTAGTAGTTTACCAAGGAGCTGCCATGGGAAATAATGGTTGATAGTTTAATAGGAGGCATGCTTTATGTGGAGACAGTACTTAACCAGTGCCACAGTGTGGGGGTAAGGTGCTGTGCTACTGAAGGCCCTAAATAGAACAGAACTGGGATCATAAGAACCTGTGGCCATTAATGAACACAGATCTTTCACAACTCTAATTCCAGTAGGCTAAATGCAATTTGCATATTAATTGTGTTCTGTTTATTTAAATATGCCCCCCCCCCATAGTTTCAGTGGGATGCACTATTCTTCACTCCCTAAACCTAAACAGTTATACAGCATCTTTGCTCGCTGGTTTGCAGTTGTCATGCTCTGCACCAGGTTGGCTGCATTTTGGGGGGGGGGGTGTGTGTGTGAAGTTATTTCCGTGCATTCCATTTAAAAAGGACGTTGGGAATGAAGGTGCAGTGATAGATGCAAAGTGACCTGGCTGTATGAAGTAACACTGCATCCTTCTTTCTTGTAGTTTAAGTTTGAACGTTTGACCCTTGAGCTGACAGTTGTTCCTAAGGAATATCACAAGATATTGAGACAGCAGCTTCCCCTCAAGCAGCAGATGCAGCAGCAGGAGCAATCAGATGCACATAAGAATGACATGGTATGCTGTAGCAGTTAGTTGCCTTTCATAATATCCTTGTGATATGTCCATTTATAGGTATTGGGGTTTTTGTATGTGTGTGGGGACATGCAAGACATTTCACGGTTACAAAAATATTATGCATTTCTGATATTGCACATGAACAGGTAACAATTTACCAGAAAATACCAAAATACCTTGGTGATTTTCATAAATCATAGAGGGAAATGACTTTTTAGGTCATTCCATCTATCTCCCTGCCACTGTATGAGTTAGTCCTATGAGCCCCTTGATAATGTTTGTTCTGAGCGCTCCTCAATTGTCAGTATCTTTCTGGTAAGGTGGTACCCACAGTTGAAAGCCAGAGGGGAGAGGGAATTAACTTCCTGCTCTGTGACGTGTCCTTTCTACAGGCATATTGCATTTCAAACCATGCTTCATAGGCTCACTAAGTAATTGTTTCCCAGGTTCCTCCCTCCTACACTGAGTGTTTGTGTTTGCAGAATATTTTCCCTCAGATCTATCACACTGCACTTTGATTTTTACACTCTCTGCTCTTAAGCACCTCCAAGTCCCTTTGCATTATTTCTCTGTGCTGAATGGTGTTTGTAGGTCCTCCCAGAAAAGTAGATTTGTGAATTTCATTAGTGTGCTGTTCTGTCCATGCTCTCTCATTAAGATATTGTATCAGACTAGACATGACACCAGTCCCTGCTGTTTCCCACGACTATATAGGTAAGCATGACCTCCATTTAAAAAACTCTGAAACTCAAGTTCAGACCAGGAAGTGACTTTTCTCAGACACACTGTGGTTTAGTGGCACAGGCGTTGGCTTCAGTGTGAAGAGCCTCTGTTCTAGTCAGGTTCTGAACATACCCATTAACCTTTCTGAGCTTCAGTTTCTGACTCTGTAAATGGCAGTGATTACACAGATTTACTTCATAAGTAAAAAGAACAGGAGTATTTGTGGCACCTTAGAGACTAACAAAGTACTCCTGTTCTTTTTGCGGATACAGACTAACACGGCTGCTACTCTGAAACTTCATAAGTAAGTGATAATCGTAAGGTGCACAGTAGTGTGCCTAAAGGCCTTACCTCAGACTCAGGCCTCATTGTGTCAACGACTAGACACAGAGAAACAGGCAAGCCCTGTCTTGGAGTGTTTAGTCGTGGGGCAGAATTTCCAAGCCACAAAGCCATTAAAGAGACAAAACAAATGGAGGGTGGGAGAGAGGAAATATTATAATCCCTCCCAGAGTCCCTGGCCCAGCCTGCCAGATGGACTGCCTAGACCCAGGGACTCACAGGGTCCTTGGCTCAAGGGCAGCAGGACATGCAGACTACCGTGGAGTTGGGCAACCTTGGGCTCCCTAACTCCTGGGCTAGCTGGCTGCTTTGGGGTGGGGAGTAGGGGGGGACACAGTGCCCTGGGGCATCCGAAGTCTCTGACTCCTTTGAAACTCACCAGGCGGGGATGCAGAAACAGGGCTTCAGGGCTGACAGAGAGCTGGGGGCATGGAAGCCCTGAGAGCATTAGCTGTGAGGCTCCGAGCTAGCCTCCGTAGAGCTTCCAGGCTCCTAGCTCCCTTTCAGCCCACCAGGCAGGATTTAATTTAGAAATTGTGGAAACAAAACATTTTTGATTTTTCAAAAGTAACTTTTTTTTTTAGATTTCTGTGCCACAGAGAATATCAATTTTTTCCCCTTTGCATTCCAAATGGGAATGAAAACCATTTTCAAAATATGAAAATGCTCTGCAAAATAGAAATGCCATTCTTTGCCCACTATTATTCTTATGTTTCTGAAATAATGTGATTTGCGACTGTGCTACGTTCTGTTACATCACCCTCTGTAATTGAAATGCGTGCTTGAGTTGTCACATTGCTTTATGTGGGTAAAGATATCCTGTGTCCTGCTAAGCAGATAGAAGGGATGAAGTATTTGGTGACATTCCAGGATTCAATACATTACTGAAAATGCAGAATTCCCCTGAAGGGTCACATCAGTGAATCTGACCCCCTCTGTTCCTAGCATTTTGTTGGCGCTTGTAAGAGTTAAAGACTGAAGGTGATGCTAACCAAAGTCTAATTTAGCACAGGGCTGATGTGGATATTTTGTAGAAACCAGTTCCCTAAAGAGATCTGATCTGGCAGATGGTATCACATCAGCTTTAGGCCTTTCTGATGTAATGACTGATGAAACCTGTTGCCGAAGAGGTTCCGAAGATCTTTGCCCATAAGTGTCTAACAACATGAAAAGGAAGGATCGTCATTTGAAATGAGGATGAGTGACTCTCCGATACAAAGACCTTTACTTGGTCTGCTAAATGAACATCGCCAGTAACTCAGTTAGTAGAGAGAACTGTTACTCAGGAATATGTTGTTCATGTATTTTAGCAGAGGACAACAGGACACAGACACAGGGGAATACGTCACAGTATATTTTGCAGTCATGTACTTTCACTGGAGCATAGGAATTGCTCTATTGTCTCTAGCTGTTGGGTCATTCATATTATAATATGGACACCCTGTTAATAGACATGAGAACTGCATTACCTGAGAACCTCTAGTTCAGTTACAGGTTATTGGGCTGGATGCAGGTCAGAATAGATGGCCACAGTGGATACTTATGGCCCTAAAAATCGATGAATCTATAAGACTCTCTACTTCCCACTAATGGTGAAAGTAAGTCAATTCATGGAGGATTGCATGCTGGATTTTCATTTAATGGCAAACATCCATCCCTTGTAACTAACTGAGATCCCAGGAGTTACAGGACGGTTCATGCATCAGGCAGACTATAGCAAACATCTTCATTAAGATTCATTCTGACCTGTGCTGATGCCATTGATGGTTAATGTAATAATGCTTTCAGTTTAAGGTATTGAGTAGTGTCAATGGGAAACCTTTTTCGCTAAAGATTTTGCTTCTTTTTTTCTACCATTAAAATAACAAAAAAGACTAATCTTAAAAATGCTCTTAATGACTGTAACCAAAATATTAACAGTAGTAAACAAGAATACATTTGCTCATAACTTGTCATATCAGTGTAATAAATTAAGCCAGGAACACATTAACATTTGACAGCTTAAACAATGCAGGAAAAAATACAAACCTCACAGGGACTACGTGAAGCATGTTGGCAGTTTAACAGACATTTTGAGATGCAGATACATATATCAACCTCTCTGATTTTAGTCTTGATAACTTCTTTTCCAGTGTGTGCCAAAACACTGCCATCCAAAGACTAATGAGTTCCAGATTTGTTTATCTTTGGTGGCTAAGGCAGATTCATGAGCCCCTGAACCCATTTTACAGCAGTCATGTGATTTTATCATACAACAGCAGAGACAGAAATTTCTTTCTAAATTAATGAATATAGAGCATATAAAAAGATAGATTTTCCTGGCCATCTAATACAAGGGATCATATCAAGCCTGTTTCAGAGGACTCGACTGAATGAGTAGTCCTGCACAATTTAATATGTTATAAGTTTCATCCTTGTTTCCGTTCATGTTCCATCTGGTGTATGGTAACAAATATTGGAAGTAAATCTTGTAACCAGAACCACGTGAGCTGATGTGTAGCATCAAGATGGTGTGACATGCAAGCAACAAATGAATACATATGGATTTCTTTCTTTAACTTTTTGCATTATGTAAATCCTAGGACAAGTAGAGTGTTTACAAAGAAATATTGTACCCTTACTCCACATAAGTAAAACTCCCTCCCTTTATATTTCCTCTTTTGGACTTCTGCTGCTTTGTTTCTCCTTTTATTGTTTTTCTATTATGATTTTATGACTGAGTATTTATAATTCTCTGCTAAGATCTGCTCACTTTTGCTGGTGGTGGGGATTCTATGAATAAATGTCACCACACTTAATAGATTGCATTTTGAATAGATTTTTGCAATGGAGCAAAGTAATGGAGTCTAGCAGTTTCCTGTTTGAGGTTCCAGTTGATTAAGGTCAGAAGGGACCATTGTGATCATCTAGTCTGACCTCCTGCACACTGCAGGTCACAGAACCTCACCCATCCACTCCTGTAATAGACCCCTAACCTCTAATTGAGTTGCTGAAGTCCTCAAATCATGATTTAAAGACTTCAAATTACAGAGAATCTACCATTTATACTAGCTTAAACCTGCAAGTGACCCATGCTGCAGAGGAAGGTGAAAATCCCCTAGGGTCTCTGCCAATTTGACCCAGAGGAAAAGTCCTTTATGGATTGATTTTTTTTGTTCAGTGTTTTGAAGATAGCTAGCCAGACACTTGAGCCTTGTATGGCTGCTTTCCAACTCTTTGAAAGCACAACATGAATGCAAAGTTGGCTTAAACAGCCAGTGGAGGAGTCTGTCAGTGTGGGAGGGTTCCTGATTGGCTGAAAGTTATTGTAGGGGCTCTTCCACATTGCCCCTTCCAGTTAGAGGAAAAACGGGGAGTGGGCAGGGCACCTCCGAGCATTAGCAATCTCTGGTTGCAAGAATGGCCCCTGGGGCTGGCCACAGGCAGCGGGGCATAAACTGGAACAGCACTGAGGTGGTTCTAACTTATGCCAGGGCCAAGGCTAGTTCGGGCCAAGACTGGCGGTTTGTGAAGTCACATTTTCTCCTCTGCCCTGAACTCCTGTGCTCAGTGGAGTTTGGACATAACCCAGTATTGAGACAGTAAACTGAAGAACAGCCCTAAGTATTACTAATATTATAGCAGGTCCTATGGCCGAATAACCTGCTAGCTTTCTAGGGTCCCAAAATGAAATGCTTGAATTGAAATTTGGTGTAAAACATTAGATCATTATGTGGTTCTTTTTGCCTTAGCAGGTGCGCTTGAACCAACTAATCCATTAGTTAGTGTTTTGAAACACCATTGGAGTCGTACTGCAGCCAGCTATTTGTCGTAAGTAATATTTTTCCAATGTTTCTTTGTACAATAGTTATTTGATTATGGTCAAGTAGCATTCTTCAGCGTCAAAATGTTGTTAATAAAACGATCAAGACCTTTTCTAAACAAAATCC